CACTCAAACCCCAAACATTTCTCTGGTCATTGTGGTTAAACTCAGAGACTGAATTAACAGAAGGAAAAGAGATTGCCAATACATTGCCAAAGTCGTTGCCATTTGATTCAGTTAAAGAGAAGCAATAAGCCCAGGACTGGATCTGGCAAGTTTCAAGTAGGGATCATCTACATGAAATGTAGACTAGGGACAGGATTAGCAGAATACGCTGTAAAAACAGGTGAAGGAATTATAGCCATAAGACGCATCAAAGTACAAGTTCATACAGACCAGTCTTCACAGCTGTAGCTTCTCCATTTAGTTTCATAAAATTTCTGAAACGGCCTTCTAATTCTCAGTCCCCACGTGTCAACTACAGACCCCAAGCTTCGCAAGGGCTGGTGGCACAACCCAGCTCTGGGCACCACACAGGACACCCTTCCATCAGGAGTTTGCTACTCAGAAATATCTAAACCAGAGCATGCAAGCAGAGAGGTGTCTGCACCAGTGCCAGGTGCGATGGTACCTGCGTGGCAAGGAAGAGCTTCCCTTTGGCAGCCCAGAGAAGAAAAGCTGTTGCTTGTTTTCCTGATACCAGCATTATCAAGCTGCACTGCGTAGGATTTGCTGATGGACATGTTTGTGCATCTTCTAGCTTTGCATTTTAGGCTGGTGGGAAGTACCCTATGCTACCATCATCCTCAAAGAGCATGGAGAGGCTGGGAAGCAGGAGGAGCTGGAGAGTGGGGCCAGATGCTGAAAGACACAGAGGCTACTGTAATCAGAGGCTACTGTGTTAGAAGCATACAGGCCTTGTCTGTGGAAGATCGGTAGCTCTTCCTAGAAGGGTCTGAGACACCTCTGCATCCTCCAGCAAAGGACACTCACTATTTTGGGGTATGGACTGCACAGCATCCAAAACATCTGTAATAGTGGCAGAGAGCATTCAATCCCTCTGGCACAGAGCAGGAAAGAGGAAACTCTGAACTCAGTGTCCTTCGCAGGAGAGAGACACCTGTTATTGTATTGACCATGCAGATCTTGACCACTCACATTTTGTTCTCAGCCCTAAATAAAGAGGTTCTGGACCTCCCTGGAACCAAGAGGTGAGGCAGTCAGCGCATCAACCCAAAATGAAAAAGATAATGTATCATCCCTCCATCCTCCCCCAGCATCTCCTTAGCCTTGGGCCTTTTCCCTTCAAGAGGCTGTTGCAAAACTTAACTGAGCTGACATCCCAATTCCAGGCAGAAGATGGAGCCCTCACACCTGCTCCACGTCATAAGAGAGACACCCCTTTGAACTGGGGGTGTTTGCCTTGGCCACAGTCTTTGGATCGCGGGACAGGAAAGGGTTCTGCAACTGTTAACAAAGCTTCAAGGATTGTGGCAAACAGATCACAAAGCAGGACTAGCTCTGAACAGCTGGAACGAAGCCTGCACAATCCCTTTTACTGCATCACCGTCACAGCCAAGAAATGCAAAGGTGGTAAAAGCAGACAGCTGAGGAATGCCCATGGAAAGTAGCACAGAGTATGCGGGAGTCTCGCCTGGAAGAACACATTCATCTTTACCTTCGGACCTTTCCCTAATTCTATCTAATAAAGGTGTATTACTGACATTGCTAAGATAGAAAAAAGGGAGAAAAAGCAATGCCTTATTTCTTTCTTACCAGTTGGGCAAATGATAATTCCCACTGCGCAATGGGATTAGGCTCAAATTGGAGTAGCATCATAAATCTATAATCATAAATCTGTGACCGAACTGAGACCGATAGAGCAAGAATGTCTTTCTAAGCCAGGCTACAAAACCAGTCAATGGCATGGGATGAGAGATGCTTTTATTGTTCACCCAGTAAAACAATCAAGTGGAAGATTATTAGATGGGGAAACAGCAGCTTTGCTGGGCCAGATACCAGGTAATCCCTGAAATGTGTCCAGTGTACCTGTCAGTGGAGCAAAACTGGGCAATAGGCTTCTTCGGGTTCTCTTCAGTGGATAATGTATTCACCAAAAAATGCAGTTTAGTGTTAACTGAAACCAGCCATCAGATTAAAAGAAAAAAAGGCAAAGGCAAAAAGACTATTAACATTAAAACATTTTCTTTCAGCATTTTCAAAACAGAAGGTTTCACATTTTTGCTTCAAAGCAACTTGTTATAGCCCAAGTCATAATGTTTTTTAAAAAAAAGTGAAAAAGCAACCCTACAAATGAATGCTTCCTTTTGGTTTGAAAGGATTTTTGTTTGTTTGTTTTGATTTTTCCCTTTTTCATTCCACTGAGAAAATAAATTAAAAAAAAAAAAAATTGTCTCAGGTCACCCTTACAACTTTTTTCCCAGATTTTTCAGTTCAGCCCGCAAACTGAAAAACCACTGTGGGCACAGCCTACTTGGGAGTTTACTGTCCCTCTTTCTATTTGGATCAGTCCTAAGCCAAAGAAAATGGGAAGTTCATTTCACCAGGTAATACCAACCAGAATCAAGGTATTTAACAGATGTAAAAATACTGAAAATGGGAGGAGTTGTGTCTGTTTACAATGGGCTGAACATGACCCAGGAGATAAGAGATCTCCTAGCTCCAAAAAACAGTGCCATCTACAAGCTTCCTGCTATGCCATCCTACTCTCATATAAGGCAATTTACAAACTGTGGGTCTGATCCTGCGTTTGACTGAGATGTGCTGACACCACTTATTTGTGAGCAATGCAAGATCCAGGTAACCCACCCCACCTGCTCTAAGCAAGGGGTTTTGGGGGTTGGGGGGAAGCAAATGGAGAGAGACGCAACGTCCTCCCCACTAGCAACATTTGAGCATCACTCATGTGACCCGAAAACAACATCCCTTTTTTGCAGAGTGTTACCACTTCTGCAGGGACAATACAGTACTGGATAGTCGCTTTGCAAGCTCAATAAAATGAAAAGGCCTTATGAGGATCTTTGTTGGGACAGTCATCTGGTTCAAACACAGCAGAAGACAACAACAACAACAACAGCAAAAAAACCACAATAAATTAGGTATCAGCACAGCTTTCTAAATGCTCTAGAACAATTACCTGCAAGACAAAAATCACAGCTCTGGTACTTAGAATCTTGTCTTTTTTTTAAAAAAAACAATAATCCACAGGTTTTGCATAAAAATAAACATTTTAAGCTGACAGCATTATGTTAATTGGATCAACCCGCTTTTTAATATATATATTTCTATGTATATTTAAATGTATATTTTTTCTATGAATGTTCTTTAAAGGAGTAATGGGAGTCACAAATGCATAAAAATAGATATTTTGGAAAAAAAGAGTAATAAGAAAGACAACCCCGGTTAAAAACAAAAAAAAAAATCAAACGGCAATATTCTAAAGCAACAGCTCACCATACTATAAATTGTGGAGTCCAGTCCTTCTGTATTGTGAGCAGTTACTCCTAAGTACTATTGGGTTTTGTAACAGTGATGTAAAACATAAATTCCTGCACGTTTATTTAAAAAAAAAAAAAAGAGAAGGGATTTGGGTATATAGGACAGATTTTGATGCCTGTTACATTGCTGTAAATAACTAGCACAAATCATCTCCCAAGCTGAAAGCAGGAGGAACTCCAGCAATTCTTGTGTTTATTAAGAATATATTTTCTAATCAAAATCTCATCTGTCCCTCTGAACTAAAATTAAAAAAAAAAATCCACTTTTGCCCTACAGGTTTTTTTCTGTTGTCCTACAAATAATCAAAACAGATTGGAAAAGGTGGGATTTTCAGTAGTGTGTGTCAGCATTCCGTGCATCCTTGACAAAAAGCCAGCTCCTAACAGTTAGGAAGATTGTTTCAGAGAGTGATCCTGTCCCTTTACAGCAGGAGGTAACACTGTTAAAAGTCCCTTAAAGGCAAAAAGATCATGGGGGGAGGGGTAACCATAAAAAATGATAATAACCCGACCTGCTTGCCAGCTGCATCAGTATTCAAGTAAAGTTTAAAGTACCTTTGTGGGACTTGGAGGGTCAGACCGGCTTATTTTAACAACTGTAATATGCACTTTGAAACAGCCTTGTCATCTGCTTGTTTAAACTAAAAAACAAAACTCAAAAACAAACAGGAGCAAAGGAAAGGTATAGGAAAGCTCTCAGCATCAGTATTAGACTGCAGAGTGTCTTCTTGACACTGACACTTTGATGTTCTTGCTTTCCTTTCTAATACATTAAAATATCATGAAATCATGCAGCCATTTTAAATGAGTATTTCAAGGGTCCAGTTTTCGTAGAGGTTAACTTGATCACCAGCACAGCACTGGAGAAAGCTGATCTAACAATATTTCACTTACAGAACTCTTCAAAGGAAAATAAGAAATACAGTTCCACAAACAACCACTTTGATGTTCTTGCTTTCCTTTCTAATACATTAAAATATCATGAAATCATGCAGCCATTTTAAATGAGTATTTCAAGGGTCCAGTTTTCGTAGAGGTTAACTTGATCACCAGCACAGCACTGGAGAAAGCTGATCTAACAATATTTCACTTACAGAACTCTTCAAAGGAAAATAAGAAATACAGTACCACAAACAACAATGCCAATTAAAAACACAAAGCAAATTGTTTTTTCCTTGGTGTTTTTTCTTAGACATTCTTTCAGAAAAAAATTTTTCTTCCCTTATCTCTTTCTTTAAAAGCAAATTTTCTAACCAGCCAGATTTTAGAGCTATCTTCCATCTACATGAATCTAAGCTTTTCTGAAACCGCCTACAGGGTTTTGGGGGCAGAGGATTCCCTCTCATAAATTTCAGATCTATCTAAATGGCATCTGCTTGTTTTGTCTTGTTTCTCCTCCTGAATTTGTCCATTCCCCTTAGCATTTCACAGGCCAATACTACTGTGAGAATTTAGGTGTCTGCATTTGAAAGAACTTTGGACCGAGCACAGCTTCACACATTTCATCTTCTCCATGCCCTTTCCATGTAGTTTCTTCTATCTTTACATGTACAAAATCACAGTTTGTGTAACATTGTTTTAAAGGAAGAAAATAAAATGCACACACGCACACACACACATACATTGTATTGGTGAACGCTGTACACTAAATATTTTTTTCAACAGCATAACAGAAAGTTTGGCCTACTGTAGGTTGAACATGTAGGGAAGGCTGAATTTTTACAGTTGCCATGCAAGCCACCTTCAAGACAAAACAGATGAACCCACCCAAGAGCAAACGCAGCTTCTACTCTCAAGCCATTAGACAAATACTGCCTTTCCAGGGATCAGACTGACATCTCGCCAATTCAGTCAATGCGGTATTTAGAGAACCACACCCAGTTGCTTCTGCATGAGTCCTCTGAATCCAAATGCTGTTAAAACCAAAGGGGGAAGAGGGTATTTGACTTGCCTTATTAGTAGTAGTATGTATATATTTTGATAACACTTTGAATTTCAATTTACTTCTGAAACCTTGCCCTTTGAGAAGAACACACCCTTTAAGTTGACTTTTTTTCCAGGCTTCTGTTCCTTTAAAATTCTCTCTTCATTTCGCCGTTCTTTTTCAATTATCTACCAGAATATTTGCTTTCTTCCAGCAGAAATGTGGCTGGTGGGCTTGGGCTTTCACTGCACTCGCTCTGTGAAATTCTCTGGGAAAACCCCTCGGCAGTGGTCAAGTTCCTTATGCTGGATCCAGTCAGACTCCTTCACACCCATCAGCCATCCTTCATCCTGGAGGAGAAGACAGAGATCAGATGCTGAGGGACAGATGTGAGCGGGGATTTTTCTTACAGAGTGCAGGCCAAGGAGGTGTCAAGGCATTATAAAAGCCATGCTCGTATTTGGTTTGGCGACAATCCAGGAAGAGGATGGGGGAGGATGAAAAAAATGCTTTCATTCCCTTTTAAACAGGGAGAAGGCTACATCTCACCAGAGTTGGTACCAAAACTCCTATCTGACCCAGAGTGTCTAGAGACAGTGAAAGTGTAAACAATAGCAAGTGTAATAGAAACGTCATAATTTACACCCACTGAAGCAGGAGAAATTGTGCCAAAGAAAGTCTCTAGAGCTACAGAATGGAAATCACCTATCTCACCTTTCACAATCTAAACATGAGGGATCTAGCATTCTCCATAAGTCTTAAAAGAGACAGGCACCTCTACAGTGCAATTCATCCCATTCATCTTGGGCACAGGTCTTTGGAAAGGATGAATCATTCCCTGGAGGTGCTCATCCCCTGCTCCAGTCACGGCACCTGGATGATTAGCATTTTAGAGAGGTGGTACAGGCAAAATGAGTCTTGTTTGCTATGCTGAAATTCTGGTCTATGAGAATTGGGAGCTGAGGAGCTCAACCCGTCTTCCCAAAACCCAGCAGTCTGTTGGGCTTGATGCAAGGTGAGGTTGGCAAAACTCCCAAACTTGTGCTACACATGATGTAAGACTCAAGGTGTCTCCCAAGGGTCCTCCCTAGCCACCAAACCTATACATCTATAAACAGGGATGAATTTTCACTGAGGCAGATGGAGTCCAGCCTGGTAGAACCTGCTCAGGAGGAGAACCAGACTTCCCACCCTCTGCCTGCAGGGTGTCTAGCATCGAGATTTCTGCTCCATCTGAAGCACGAGGGAGACAAGATATTCAAGGTGGGAAGGCTGCACTGCTTGCAGCTCAGGCGTGCAACCACCCTATTCTCTGCATGCCTTGGAGCTGCCACCATGGAAGCACCCCTTCAGCATGCAAATATACCCACTCATGTGAGTTATTTGCAGTGGGGCAGCCTATGGGTTAAGACTGCAGCATGAGGCAAGAGAGCTGCACAGGGGACTGCTGCCTCCAAACTCAACAGCCTGCTCTGCATCCACTCCTCTGGGCAAAGCATGCACCAGGCTCATTTAGAGATATGTTATCACATTCAACTACATAACTTGCCAGGGCAGAAGTGCTCAGGCAACCAGATGCTCTAAGCTGTGGAGAAATGGGGTGTGCATGCGTGTGGTTCACACAGTTCTTCTGACACTTCTGCTTTCCTGGAACTGGCAGGAGTTACCTGGGTATTTACCCAAGGCCAAGCAATGCCTCCCTTGAAACATGTTCTTTAAAAACATACCTGCGCAGTGCAGGACTGATGAAGCCCTCACCAGGGGTGATCCATGGGGCACGTATTGTTTTCCACTGCCATTTTGCAGCTTCTGCCCTCTTGTCCTGTTTTCTGCACATTTCATGTTGCAGCAGCTCAGACCAGCCATTGTATCTGAGTTCCCTGCTTCCTTGCAGGCTGTACTGGGTGCCTGCGGGCTCAGTTAGCCCTTGTTACTGCCTTAGACTATAGAGCATTATAGAGCATTCAGGGGATGTCATGGGAATGGCATGAGATGGGAGCCCATCTGCAGTAGCCAGCTGCAGGGGCTACGGAAGGACTGACATGCCATAAATCAGGAAGAGAAATAACTAGGCAGAAGACGCTGGGCCCAAGTGTCTGGAAGGCAGCTTCCAGCTCACAGCACAGCAAGCACAAAAGCTCATCCATTTGCACATAGTGTCTGTGCCATACAGCATGCATCACTCCCACTGCATCCTGCTATGAAGGGTCTCCTCAGCTGTAGGGATTAGACACGAGGACCCAGATTGACCCTTGCCAATTCTGAACCACGTCACTTGAAGTGTCAGCTTAGAAGCGTTGCTGCCCTCAACCCTTTCTTCCATCAAGAGAGAAATCCAGGCCTGGCTGAGGTACCCACAAACTGACACCTAAGCTGCAAGATGGGGACATAAATCAGAGTCTATTATCCTAAGCTTCCTCCACTCACGTGCACAGTTCATGCACATGTTAACAGCCAACGTTTTCTGGCTGGGTACGGTCAAGGTTAAGGAATGAGCTGTAGCACAGGATACACTGTAGGAGGGTTAGAGGGCTTCAGTGCAGCTACAGCATCATGTTAGCAACACTCAGAGCTCACCCTCTGCAGCTTGGAGAGTCTCGAGTTCATGGCTGTTGCACCCACATCCAGCTAGAGTGCAAACATAGGGCATTGAAAAACTCTGCTCCACAAACATCATCCCCTACCACAGAAACTAGGGGAGCTGCCGCTCATTTCCCATCCAGTAACCTTTCTGAGAAAGAAATGCTCACAAATGCTTGTGCAGGGCAGTCCCACCCAGTGAAGAGTCTTGTCTCCGGAAGGATTCACTGCCTCTTCCCCATACAACCCTTCCCACCAGAGCACCTAGCTCTGCGGGAACTGCCAGCACATTATAGCTCCCATTTCACAAGCACCAGCAAGATCTGCCTCCATAATTCACAAAGCCAACAGCTGAGCCACAAAGAGGATCCACATCTTCTGTGGCCAGTGAACTACTTCACCTCCCCTTTACACCCCTTTGGAATCCAGATCTTGTCTGGGCTTGGCCAAACCCAAAGAGCTGGTGACTACTGAATCAATTTGGAGAATTCCCTTCCTTTTCCAGACAAAGACCTGGAGACTTGAGCATGAATTTTATAAAATCACCACCTCCCTCAGCCAAAGTAGTAAAGCTGCTGCAGACTTTATCAGCTGGAAGCCCTCAAACACAGCAAGTGAGGAGGATTTACTCTAGGCTTCTAGAAATAGCTCAGATTAAAGAAAAACATCTCCAGTTAAATTCAGGTTGGAGATGAACAGTTAAGACTGTTCTCTAGGACTAAGCAACCTGCTCCAGCCTTTGATTCTGCTGCCATCTCCTGACCAAACACTGTCTTTTGAAAATAGCCATTGCTATGCTGAAGTGCAGGACATCATCCACAGAAAGCTGCTTTCTCAGAGCTCCGGCATTTCTCAAAAGGGGAGAAAACATCACCATAAGCTGTGGGTCACTCCTGCCAATGCCACTGCACTGCAGTGGTCACAGGGAATATGCATCAAGTTTAGGAGCAGTGAGGAGGCAAAGTACGGGCTCTGTTGGGCTCCCTGATCAAGGAAGCCATTGTATTGGCTAAAATGCCCTGATAGGGACAGGAAGCTGCAGCTATTTCACATGCTTTATGCAGGATAATGTCTCCACTTGCCAATCACAAGCAGAGTCCTCCCCTCTGTTGCAGGAAGCCAATCTCAAGCTCAAGGACAACCGGCTCTCCCGCCAGCTCCCAGACACAAACTGATGGCTCTGCGTCCAGCCAGCCAACTGTTAGTGGAGGAAGAAGCAGCTCTGGAAATCCCCTTGGCTCCTCCCGGCCCAGGCTCACACCCTGTCTTCCCCACTCACCTGCTCCTCAGGGTTCTCAAATGGAATCACAAGCACCACGTCCCCAGCCTTCAGCTGCAGCTCATCGCTGTCAGTGGCCGTGTAATCATGCATGGCCTGGACCTATGGGGAGAGGAGAGAGCAGCTTGGGTGAGGCCAGTCTTCTCTCACCTAGCTCTGTAACGGGTGACAAGGCTTTCCACTTCATTGATTCACTGGATGATTCAGGTTGGAAGGCACCTTTGGAGGCCACGTGATCCAACCTGCTGCTCAAGGCAGGGAAAGCTTGGATCACAAATGCCACATCTACGGGAATAACTACTTTCCTTAACCTAATGGCTACATGCTTGTTCATACAGCCTGGCACACAAGCTCGCCTTTGCCACAAGGGCATCCTGGTGAGTCTCATTCAACTTGTTATACATCAGCATCTCCCTGTCCTTCCTTAGGAGGGTTGAATTCCCATGGTGTGGGCCTAAAAATCTCACAGGATAGAAAGCCTGCATTCACTCGGATGGTGCCCTGTTGTTCTTTTTTGCAGGTGGGCTGCAAGAGCATTGGAGATTATAGCCTCCCATCTCTGTCACAGCAAGCAGGGAGAGGAAATGTAGGGAAGAGTATCAGTTTGGATCTTCGAGTGATTGTATCCTGCCATGTTTTCTCTTTGGTATTCAGACTAATTCCTATCAACATCTGCGTTACAGCTTTTCTACTTCAAACCACTGCTCTCCACTTCGAGCACTACAGTCTATAATGCTGCCTGTAACCACTATAAATGTGATAAGCCTCCTATTGTTTTTCAGGGTTTTGTCATTCTTCTGTTTTGGTAGAAGTCAATGACGTAGACAGTGGGAGGGAGGGGGGCGGGAGGGGGGGGGGGGGGAAGACGCACGGACATGACTAAAGCAGAAGAAAAGCATTCCTATAGCAGGAGACTGTCATTTCTCACTTTCAGGGCATGATGTGTCCGTGCTGTCTGGCTACCATATTCCATTACGCACGTTAAATTTGTGGCCTATCCTCACTCAGAATCACTCCTTCCTCCACACCTTCGAAACAAGCTGCAAGTGATCTTTGGCATATTCAGAATACCCACCAGACTTCCCTGTCTAATCCTGTATTTTTCCCTGCTCATCCTGGCTTTCTGATTTCCCCAACACGAAGTCCTCTGTCCCTACTGGTGTTTCCAACTCTTCTTCATTTGCCACTTGCATCAAAGTTTAACCTTTCCAGTTTGGAGCATAACTTCTTATCTAGTATCCAGAGTCTGTGACTGACACTACCACACCACCAGAAATAGAAATAACTGCAGCAGAGAGAAGGAGGGGTTTTGCTATACAGCACAGCCAGACATTTAGACACCAATGCTCTTACACATTCCTTTGAAGCATCTGGAACTGCATGAAGCTGGGCTGCTGGAGAGGAAGGTGTATCTCTCCTTCAACTTCCTTTCTCCCTTTCAATGTGGCACAGCCCACGGCCATGCTGAGTAAAAGTAGTTAATTCATTACGGGGGGGGGAATCACCAGGAACTCGGTGTCCCACCACCACGCACTCACCTTGAACAGAAATCCTGGGGGCATGTCAGCTCTTTCAGATGAAGCGCCTCCTTCCACAGTGCCATTGATGGTAGCAGGGAAAGTTTCCACAACGACAGCAGGTAGAGAGCTCTGGTAGGGAGCAGCAGCCAGGAAAGGAAAAAAAGCCATTGAGAAAAGAGAATCCAAAATTGCAGCTCCAAGTCCACCCTGGAGGATCCACATCCCAACCCTACCCGTGGCTTCAGTGGGTTTTCCCAGCACACCAGTCAGTGACAAAAACACCCCAAAGGACAGCAGAGTCAGCAGTGAGAAGGCAGGAGAGGTGACCACTGTCTTCCTTTGCTTAAGGCTGCAGAAGGGCAGAGAGGATTTAGAGTTTTTCTGGGACCACAATGCCCAGCATTTCCCATTCACTGCGGTCATGACGCAGTTCTTGTAGAGCCCTCGTGGAACAGACAACTCAAATGCAACAGCCTATAGGAACCAAGTGGCCATGGGATGGGACCTACTCCAGTCCCCTAAAAAAGTGGCAGTGTCAGGAAACAAAGAGGAACCCTGGATATTCAGGGGACACAGACAGAGCTCAGAAGACAGGGTAGGTAAAATAAATGGCAAGCAAGGAGGAATCCAGCAGACAACACAAACTTAGCACAGCATGGGCTGTGGGCTGGCTTCATAACATGGGTGAAGGGGCAGTTCTTTTTGTGGATCTTCCAGCAGAGCTTCTCCCTGAGCATTACACAAATAAAATGCAACGGCTAAGTCTAGCCTCTGAATAAGAGCGTTGTAACTGCTGGGGTGGGCAGGGATGTGTTTTTCCAAGCAGCCCCACATCTCTTTTCCCAGCCCAGCCTCCCACATCTGCTGTATGACAAAGGGATGTGATGGAGAAAAGGGACTGCTATCCCTCGAGGTGCTTACCGATCCTGAATCAGCTTCAGTTTTAGATGCTTCAGCTCCAGCTGCTGCTTCTGATCCAGCTGCTTCAGCTCCTGCATGGGCTGCTTCTGCAGGCTGCAATACAAAAGTCATCCAGGTGGAGAGTTATGCTCATTACAGCTACGTGTGCATACAGAAAAGTGCAGCTCAGTCTGTCCAAGTGCTCTATGCTGTTGACTGCTGCCATCTGCTGACAAATAGGTGAGAAACCTCAGGACCTTGCTAGGTTTGTCTCCGTCTTTCTCTGCAACCCGGTGAAATCACAGTAAAGCCTGCATTCCCTCACTCCAGCCATGCAGCAGGCAATACTCCAGAGGAAAGAAATGAAACGCCAAAAATCCCGTGCGCCTCTTTCTTTTCACTATCTAAATCGCAGACCTACTTTACACATGCACAGTATCTATTATTACATATAGATTGCCCGCTTTGAATGTGAATACAAGTCTGCTTGCATGCCAAGGGACAAGGATCTCTCAGTAGGCTACTTCCAAGGATCAACAATCAAGGAATGTTTAAGCCTTTGCATACTCCCAGAAACAGAAAAACATGATAATTATGTGTCCAAATATGGAACTTAGTCTGGACCCAGCATCTACATGACATTAGCACTGAATTAAACTGAACTGAAAACTGTGCTAACTTTCACCCAATTTAATTTTGGATAGGCCCAGAGAGTCATGAATTTGGATTCTGTTGTGAATATTCTATTAGTAAAAATTTGCTATGAATATTCCGCATGGTGTGTGCACACATTTGTGTTTGTGGAGAGGGGAGTTTCTAATGCACAAAAGCTGCCACCACCAAGGACAAATATTCAGCATCACCTACAAATCACTGCCTGGCACAGACCATTCTAGGAAGCCTGCGGACAGGGGTTCCTGTACACAACAAAACCAAACACCTCTGATACACTTCCAGCGGTTCAAGTTTTTATTCTCCCTTGCCTGAAGCCAGGCTAACTTTATTTTAACACAAAATTAAAGATATTCATTTGCCCCTCCCAGAAACCGCAGCAACACAGGAAGTAAGTTGGATCTGGTAGCATCAACGCTGCAGATCAGCCCCTTGGGAGACTAGCCAGGCAGCACCTGGGAAGACTCCTGACGAGAATCTCAGGGGTCTAATTTGCAGCCCGAGTGTCTTCATTCATGGCCAGTCTGTATCCATTTGTTCTCTATACCAGGCACACGTGCCTCTTCGCAGAATCTAACCAGATACCCACTTTATACTTGCACAATAGAGATTGCCATAGAGATTTCCCATTTTTAATACATGTGAATAAACCAGCTTTAGCATGCCTACATGCCTCATACATTTGGTAAACACATGTACCCCTGAACACAACCACGTTCAAAACAAGGCATTGTCCACATTTTTTGATGTTGCAATTCTTATAGTCCCAACCCTACAAAAGCCCAGTGTAAACCAATGACCATGGCAACCCTTAACTCTACACCCATCTGGCTACTAGCCATGCACTGGCACAATGCTCCAAGTAGTTTTCTAATAACAGCAGCAATAACGAAGAAATAAATCCTTGATTTAACAAAAAGCCATTACTTTACCTTCAGCTGCTCCAATAGTGCCATTTAACCCATGCTTTCCTCTCCTATCACATCCTTCCTCATGTCTCCCATCACCATGTCCACAGGCCTATACTGCCAGAGGATATTATAAACAGCAGAGCTGTTCCTATCCTGCAGAGGATTCCCACAGCAGCTTTGGTAGTGCTAAGGTAAATGTATGCATATGAAATGCTACAAAGGCTTCTCCTGTTTAATTAGATTCACTGCCAGGTTGCTTTTTATTTGGATTCAGTGAAACTGAAACTGGGACAGATGCCAGCCCAACTCTATCTGGCCAAGCATGGTTTTTATGTGGACAAGTGAAAAGGAGCTCAACGTGAGCTCCTTTTTTAAAAGCAGCTAATTTGCAAAAACAGTAGTTAATAACCAGAGAAATTGAATCTAAATTAATTCCCTGGATTTCAAAGGGTGTTTTCATGTCAGCTACTTATTTTTCTATTTTATGTACCTGTGGGCACCCCAAGGCCTATAAAAGCATTTACAGTCATGGAAAGACACTACAGGGAGAAGAGGAAGAATTGCTCACTGCTGTTGCCAGGTTTGAAAGCTTTGCTTATTCCAACAGCAGCATCATACACACCAAATGCAAGTTTCCTAGTCTGCAGAACTAAGCAAGTTCTGCTGCATCCAAGTTTCTATGCAGTTGTTAGCCTCATGGCATATGGGACTATGTAACCATGCAACAAGTCTCCTCTCATCAACAGCTAAGAACAATATTAGAGCAGAAACACTTCAGAAGACTTGAAGAGCAACAGGAGGATTCCCCAGCTATAGGGAGTTCTGCTCTTTAACCGTGTATGGTATGCCAAGGTCAGAATTGGCATGGTGAGAACATCTTGTCTAGTAGCATTCCCCAGTTGATTAAATTGTCCTTTGGGTGAAATCAGTTTCCAGGATGGGAGAAATGGCCCAAAACAGTTTTTACACCCCAGACTGTAAGCACAGCTCAATCAGGTACAGTCATAGCTCACCCCTGCCCATCCACTTGAAAGGCACAAGATCTTTCCTTGCAAAAACACAGACTTCTTTTCTTTCTTACTAAGACAGACGGACAATGCACATACATGGGAATGACAGATGTTAAACACTGATGGCTGATAAAACACACAAGGGAAACATCTTTCTCGACATGACCCAAGCTCACATGAAAGAGAACACTGGCCACAGTGAGTCCTTGGGCCAGACTCTCAGCAAGGGTTAAGTTATGTCCTCCCAAGTACTGACTGTAGGTGGTGATCTGGCCCTTGAGAATGGAAAGGTTGGCAGGACTCGATTCCCCAGCATAAGCCAAGGATTTGTGCTTACATCTACACCATGGGATATAGCCAGCTCAAATAGCAGGCTTGAGTACCCAGACCAAGCATTTTCTGTCCACACTGCTGGCTGTTTGTCCAGAGGGGCTCAAAAGTACTTCTGCTTGAAGTATGTCCCAATGGAACAATCTGCAGCAATCTGAGACCTTCCCAGGCCCGATATATCTAGAGGGCATAAATGAGGGTCTGGATTTGGTTCAGATGCAGAGCATGTGTAGGGTCTCCCTTGCCAGCAAGCTCCAAAGCTGACATTGAGGCAGATGCCAGGTAAATCTTGAGCCTGCACTTAACTTTCAGTGTAGACACAGGCTGAGCTATTTCACGTCAGCCTTTCTGGCAACGATGGTCAATAAACAGCAAACACCACAGATAATTCCAAACGTGTATGTATACCCAATGGTACAGGCAGTAAGGACAAGGGGCAGCTGAGACATTTACGCATCGCACACAAGAACAACAGGATGTAGAGTTTAGGAAATACTGGGCAGTGGAGGGTGAAGATGATGCCACAATGGGATTAAGTTTGAGGAGAACGTCACAGTATCATGCCAAAGGAAAGATGAGTGAGTTAGCAGGGAAACGCAATGGGATTGTGCGCTGGTGGAGACATAAGTTTCAGAGTGCCAGACCTGACTTGCAAACATGTGGCTGCCCCTGGGGCTTCACAGGTGGTGTAAAGGTGGGTTCAGCAGCACATGGAGCAACTTTGGTTTGGGGTGTGCAGAAAGGAAAAGCAGCGAGGGAAAGGAGACAGGTATGTGCAAAGAGATGGCACTGGCACATGCACAGCACATGATGAGAGATGAAAGCCATATGAAGTTCTTACCTCCCATAAATCCCAAGGTAAAGACTAAGCATGTCAAAGAGCAACAAAAATAAAACATGTTTATACATGATTATTTCAGTGAGTACAAACATTACAGATGCTGATCAGACTGAAGCAGACATACACATTCAATAGCCCTTATCTCTGCATGTTTTAAAAATATTTTTTTAGTACCTGAATTTATACACCCCTCCCCACTGCATATTCAAATTTAAGCACCAAGGCATTTGAGTAAGGGTTTTTTCTACCTGTGATATGAAGGGAGACAGACTAGCCACATTCAGTTATCAGTGGCAGACCACATAGCCAGAAAAAAAAACCTCATGAGTTTGTGGCCCATCAGGGTGGATATCCACACCCAATAGAGTTAATATAATTTCAGAAACAAGACTTCAACTGGTGTCTTTAGTTGTGAAATATCTTAACCTCTTTGCCATAGTGCCCACCCTATAGGAAATAAATTTGACTGCTTTGAAAACTAGGTGGCTTTTGCTAGGTTTTGTACTGCAGTTACCATTAGAAAGTATTGATTTCAGACTCTTTCTTTTATTGACTTCTGAAGCTAATAATAAATACATTAGAACACCAAATATGCTATTGCTGAGCGGTTTTGAAAAACCCACTCAGGGTAATATTTGTTGCTTGCTAGAAGGGTAACAAATAATTCCATTTTAAGTCAAATTTATACTCGTATCATCCTACGCCAGTATACCCAATTATCCAAGTTATAACTGGTGATTCGGGGGGGGGGGGGGGGGCTTATCCTGGCATGCAGCTTGTTCTGTCAGGCAAGCAGACATGAAATGCCAATCTGCCCACTTAAAGTTCCAGAAAGTGGTAGCTTGCCATATTGGTGTGTATCAAACTATGATAATAACTAGTATTTTGCACATACATTATTTTAATTTAGAAGAATCAAATGCCTAATGTTTGATCTCTCTAATAAGAGAGGTCTTATTGCTACAAAAATCTGTGGCATACAGGCCTACTTGACATGATGATACTGGAGAAATACGGTAAACATCCCAATTATGTTTATTACACATTTTAATGGCAACCACAGGCAAAAAAAATAACCATTTCATACATATGAAACGGAAAGTCTCGGTGAGGACAACAGCCAAATTCAGGATGCACTTCAAAACTTCCAGCCATTTAGACATAAAATGAAGCGCAGTCCACCTGCCTTTGACAGTGGACAGGACCAGGTACAGGCCAGACCAGAATTAGGCATCTTTCTTTTTGATACTGCACTGCACAGCACTATGCTCAGGGAGGAAGCTACTTCTTAACTATGAACAGAGGCTATGTTATACCCAGAAAAAGGGCTTCACATCACTTGAATATCCA